GGGAGGAGCAGGGGCGCTTGCGATTGGAGGAGGGGGTGATGGAAGAAATGGGGAGGGGAGAGGGAAGCGAAGAGGTGAAGTTGGAGCAGGTGCCGCGCTTGAGGTGTTCGGAGGCCGTGCGGGAGGGGTTGGAGGCGGAGAAGAGGGAGTGGCAGAGGGAGCATTTGAGTTTGACGGACTTGGGGAGGCCCGTGTCCGGGTGGGGGAGGAGGATGGGCTCCAGGTGGGCCCAGTACCAGGCCCCTTTCCCCTTGATGGCCTTCGTGCGGACTGTCAGGAGGCCCTCGAACCGCTTGCTGGCGGCGCGGGAGGCTGCGTCTGTCGTCGTCGTTGTTGTTGTTGTTGTTGTTTCTGAGCTCATCGCTTGCAGCTGGTGGAGGCTCAGGACGCTGCCTTCACATTTAGCCATACACCACCACACCCTGCATATACCATATACAATTATAGACTATAGCCTCCACCTCCTCAACCTCAACCTCAACCTCAACGCTCAACAGGAACAACCAACTACAACTACAACTACGACTCACTCACTCTCTCACTCACTCAACCAAATTTCTATTTCTCAACCAAAAGCCTACCCAATTTTTAAAGCAACTTTTTTTTTTTTTTTTTTACTTTTTAGATTAACCATATATTAACTACTAGGTTAGTTTTTTTACCGTAAGACTTTACTTAAGAAATATGAATGTTGGTAGTGATATAATATAGTATAGTTGAAGATTTAAATCAATTAATTTATTTAATATTTCAAAATTAAAAGAAAAACATTCCCTTTTTGTTTTAAGAAAAAAAAAATCTTAAGACGTGCTTATACATTATTTTAATAAATATATGACATATAATTTTTATTTACTTAAAAAGAATATTAACACGCTTTTTAATATTATTCTTACCATCGTAAATTTATTTAACTATTACATGTTTAAAATAAATATAATTTTAAATTAAAAAATGTAGCTTTTATTTTAACAAATACAAACAAATGGCTGAGATGTTTTCATCATAAATGAAGAAATAACTAAAGTCCAAGAAAGAGGAAGAGTTGGATATGGTGATTTTGATTGGTTTTATAAATGGAGGAGACCTTAGTCTCCATTTCAACAGGATCCTATTCCAAGAGTAACGTCCGAAGAAGAATTTATGGTTCAAAGCTTTTCTCAAATCACTTTCTTCCCTAACAAAAAGAAAAGAAAAGCTCTTAAAATTTTGAAGGTTAACTTCAATTATTAAGCTACTTGTTTACTTTTGTCGTCTTCTTATTTGATTCATTCCCCCATTACCACTCTAATTGCGCTCCACTATCAAGGCCTTAATTAATTAAACTTTTGCAAAAAGGATAGCACAATTTTTTTTTTCAGTTAAAAACAACTTTTTTTTTCTTGTAAAATTGTTATTGTACATTGATAATGGGTAGTAATAGATATGTGATGAGTTGAAGTGATATATACAAAATTTTATATTCAAACTCTATTGTTATCGTTATAATTTCGTTTGTTAGTAAGATTGTTAATAAGATAGGTTAAGGACAAGTTTTATTTTCTCCATTTTTTTCCATAAAAGGCAAAACAAGTTTGGATTCAAATTTTGAAGATGTGGATTTATGTTTTCAAAATACATTCTCATCCTCTATTAAATTTTGTTGAGATTGAGTAAACTCACGAAAAATCCATCATATTTTTTTTTATAATTTTAATTTTCTTATACATTTTAAATAAATTAAATTTTAAGTTAATAATTATATGATAATATAAATAACATATAATAATAATGAATAAGAAATAACTTACAAATAGATAATTTAAGAATTAAGTTATATTTTTAGCTAAACATATAATTTTAACTTTGTTACTTGATGTGGGAATATGGCTAAATATCTGTAGGAGAATTATATTTCAAATATTTATATTTAATCTGTTTTGATTATTTTAGGATTTGTTTCCTTATTTTTAGAATAGGATAATATTAATATTTGATTTTGTATAACAAATTTTCTCTATAAATAGAGACTCATGAATAAAACTAGATTATGTTCCTCTGATAAAAATAACTCTTATAAAATATCTCCTCAGACAAATACCATAAAATAACTCCATCATTGGTATCTAGAGCTAAGGTTACGATCTTGGATATGGAAGCAGAAACAAACTTTTCACAAATTTTTCCACCTATTTTTGATGGAGAAAGTTACGATCTTTGGACAGTGAGAATGGAAGCATACCTAGAAGCTTTAGATCTCTAGGAAGCCGTAGAAGAAGATTATGATGTTTCCGCGTTTCTAGACAATCCTACCGTAGCCCAAATGAAAATTCACAAGGAAAAGAAAATCAAGAAGGCAAAGGCAAAAAGTTGTATCTTTGCCTGTGTTTCACAAAATGTTTTCACCAGGATTATGACTCTCAAATCGGCAAAAATAATTTGGGATTATCTAAAGAAAGAATATGTTAGAGATGAAAGGATTCGAAGCATGCAAGTATTAAATTTAATGAGAGAATTTGAAATACAGAGAATGAAGGAGACTGAGACAATCAAACAATACTCTGACAAACTGCTTGGCATTGCTAATAAGGTACGATTACTAGGAATGCAATTTCTTGATTCTAGAATTGTTGAAAAAATTCTAGTAACTATACCTGAAAGATATGAAGCTTCAATAGCGGCTTTGGAGAACACAAAGAATCTAAGTAAGATCACTTTGACAAAGGTGTTATATGCATTGCAAGCATTAGAACAAAGAAGGCTTATGAGAGAAGAAGGATCTATGGAGGGTGTATATTTAGCCAAATGGAAGAACAACAATGGTGCCAAAAATAAGAAGAAGGAATTGTTCCAAGAGAACAGTCAAAATAATAGCACTAAAATTTTCCATCATGTCCTTATTGCAAAAAGACTAATCATCCATAACAGAGATGTTGGTGGAGACCTGATTCAAAATGTGACAAGTGCGGACAATTTGGACACCTAAAACATGTATCCAAATCTCATGAACAACAAGAAGAAACCAACATTGTTAAAGATCAACAAGAAGAGGAAGAAGAACAACTACTTTCAATGTCATGATTTATGACAAAAAAAAAACTCAAAAGCTTAGATTATTGATAATGGTTGTACAAACATATGACTTATGATCGAGAACTCTTCAAAGAACTCAACACAATAAAGTCAATATATATATATATATATATATATATATAAGGATATTTATGTAAATTGAATATTAGCAAGTACGGATATCCGTGGATATGGGTACTATGATACTTGTACCCGCCACATTAACATGCGGATATAAAAAATACTCATACTCGTTATCCATGGATATTTATTTATAATATCTATTTTCTTTCTGTTACAAATATTATTTGTGGATACTTGCAAGTTTGAAATTTTTTGACATCCCTACTTGCAACTCTAAGTCTCCTATGAGATTAATCATCGACTATCCTTCAAATACTAAGTCCTCCAAATACTCAGTTAGGAACTAAGTTCTCAACCTTGTACTTTACCTGAATGATTGCTATATACATGTATGTCTCAACTTTGCCCACATACAAATTTCACATAAAACTAGAAGAAACAACTTAAAACAACTATTCATTTAGAAACTAGCTTACTTATTATAGGGTTCTCAACTGGGCTTACGAAGCACCACAACTTATATCAACACAATGGGATATTTTCATTTTAACACATCTTTTACTCTCCCCGAGTTTTTAGTATCTTAACAAAGACATGTATCTATACCACATGTTTAACAACTTAATTAACTATAACATCAATACAACTTTACAATTTTATCATCCATCAAATGCAACTTAAAACATCATACATCTTACAACTTAATCAACTTCATCAATTCTCATCATAGACAACTTTAACCATCATCATTCAAAAATAAACAATTCATCATACTTCAACATGTAAACAACTTAGAACATCATACTTCATTTCAACATATCACGTCCAGTGCCATTCTAAGCGCGCCCAACACTATTGAGATAAAGAGGTTTTTGTCCCCCTCTCCCATGTCCAATGTCAATCCTCTAGCGTCCGTTGTGGGTGAGGCATAAAACCTTTTAAATCTCTCATGCTTAGCAAGAAAAAACTCACGTTCGACCTTAATCAAGGAGAGAGTTTCCACCTAACTCATGTCTCACACCACTCAACCTACGCCTGATGTGATCCACTGACTTGATCACACTGGGCACCATGCCTCTAGGGCTTAGGGTCACCAAGATAGAGAATTCTTCAGTTCTCAAGCTTGGCGTCACTCATTCCACACCTGACATGACTAAATTAGAGGACTCATCACTGATCCACGTCCAATCTACTAATCTGATGTCCGACATGATCAAGGTAGAGAGTCCCTTAACTTGAGCCACAATCAGTGCAATGAAGGCATGCCCAACACGATGCTTGTTTCTACACATAGCAAAATCACCAAATGTATTCTCAAAACTTGCAATCCAACCAACCAAGAAAACATGCAAACCAACATACAACATATATGAACCGTAAATAACACCAAACCAACTCAAAACAACACATGCAAGTATCCAAAATCAAAATCACTCAAGTTACTGAAGAACACCATTTCAAGAGCACTCCTAACAACACCTTTGAATTGCAACCTTCACTAATTCAATCATGCAAACGACAAATTCAATTCAATAGTAAGCATTCAACACCGTTAATCAAGTCACAAAGTTTTCCTTATCTCTAGTCAATCAACTGAGAAGAGGAGTAGAAGAAGAGAACTTTGTACAACTTTAACTTGAAATTTCCAACTTCAGGAGCTCGAATCTGTAAGACCCCCCTTCCCTCTCTTTTTCCCTTCCTTCACTTCCAACCACTCCAACTCTCTCTTCTTCCCTCTCATTCTCTTTTCTCTGAATTGGTGGCTTTAGGTGCTGAGCCAGGGGCAGGTGGAGCAAGTTGAGGGTGGTGTTTCCTTTCAAGTTTAACATTCTAAACTAAGCCTAGTCATGCCCCGATGTCACATATCCTATCAGAGCACGCTCAACTAAAGGCTATGCCTCATCACCAACATCCTCATGCTGATGATCACCTGCAACACAATTTAAACACATACAAAGAGCAATAGGGGAGTGAGAAACATCTCACTCGGGTTCAGGTGCAGAAATAAATGTTAGACAACACACACACAACAAACATAATACAAGTCATAAGCACAAATCACATATAAATAATACACATACACAATTAATATCACATGCCCCTTTTACGAACCCTTTGAAAGTTTATTCTTCTTAATTAAATTATATTATATATGTGTTGGGGTAGTAAGGGTGTCACACCCAATCTGATTAATTAAAGGCTCAACCTACTAAATCAACTATTTACATCACCAAACAAATCCTAACATTACAATCTAAAAACAAACAGAAAATACTACAAAGGGTTGCAACCTTGCAACGCATTTTTGGGTCCCTTAAAATTTGAACTGGCATTTACTCCCAACAAAGAATTTCTATAACTCTTCTTTATCTTTCCATAGATATCAAGAATGTCCAAAACTACTATCAATAGCTTCAAATATGGC